TATGTAAAGCCACCATATTGAATGTTGTTGGTGTATATTGAACTTCACAAACAGATGAAATCATAACTAAGAGGCACATCTATTTGACATCCCCCTTACCTTCACCTGCACCATCTGCCTTATTCTCCCTCCTGTTACAGCTTTCCCCATTTTCGATCCTGATCTTCCGGTGGATTTCATCAAGTTCGCGAATCAAGGGCAAGCTATCACCATCATCGGAGTCGTGTTTCGTGCCAATTCTGATACACGAGCACCGTTCCATTGACATGAAAAACGCCGCTGTGACACCGTTAATGAGTTTTGTAGTCACCCCATCAACCTTTTTGGACACAGGCAAAACACTGATGAGTGGTTTTGTCTGGACCATGGGTTCATGTTCAACCAATCCCTCTTTGGGAGAGAACACATTGACGCAGCAAACAGATTTACAGGTATTGCTCATTAGCTGGATGGAGAAGAAAAAGATGCTACGCACACGGAGAGGTTGATAGGTTTTAAGGGGTCTCCATGGGTTTATATTTCTTCTCTCATAAACTCAAGCTTTTATAACCCCCCCCCCCCCTCTCTCCTCTCTTTTGTCACTGAATATTATAAGTTCAGGCGTGCCTTTGAATATTATAACTAATCACTCTTATGATATACTGGTATTTGTGGAATTAAATTTGCTTAGGGTTGGTACTTAGCTTTTTCATTCTAGGGAGAGAGCATCATGTATAATCTATCTATATATGGTTATGTGTCGATTACGATATAAACATATTGTACGGTCTTAAATTCACTTTATACAATAGTTTCTATTTTGAGATAAAATCACAGGAAAGCTTGAACTTATCAAGTATTCCAATACATACTTCACGAAACCACATGAGATTAAATCACCAGAATTGTGAATATGTATAACGCCCGTCTCCAATTTTTTGACAGCCCATTTTTGATATAGTAGAATTTTTTGGTGACATGTATTTGATACTCTTCTCCACTACTTAGAAAAAATGAGTCATTAGTTTAGGTATCGAAAATTATCACTACCGATTGAACAATTAGACATCTAACACGTAATCAAATGGGTAGATACTTTGTCTGGAGTTTGGGAATTATTCTCTAGAGAATTCATGGGAAAGGAATGGATTATGTTATAGGGACTACATATACACGAAAAATATTTGTTCACGAGTAATACGTTATTTTGGTAGAGATTGGACCTGAAACGATAGTAAGTATTCATCGAAATGGATGCAAGACTTGTTACCAATTATCTCTCCCAATATACTCTAGCCGTAAGTAACCCAACTGGAAAACTCTACTAAAAGAATATTATTAGCAATCATTCTAGTGTATATTATGGTATTGTGTGTTTATACGCAAATTTGAGAGCAAGTGGACCCCAAATCGAATCATCAAAATACAGAATATAGACATAGACCAGAATAAGGACATAGATAGCTTATAGGATGGAGTCACTTAAAGAATTTACACTATGATGAAGAACTTGGTTCTTATCAAGGGCGTTGAAGCTATTCTTTACCTGGAAAGTAATTAAAGTATAGGTTGAATACAGAGGAAGCATGCTAGATCATATCTACCGTGAAGAAAATTTTCAATGCTCATGAGTAGGCCCGGTAATCATGCCGGATTGTGTTGATTGGTGTTGTGTTTTAGAGTGTTTGTGTCTAAAACTACTCAATTCATATATGACTCATTTATTTAATGGATAAAAATCGTAAAATCAAATAGGATTTGTTTGTCAAACAAGTTGCATGATACGACCCGTGTTATCGACTAAGTCTATAACAAAAAAATTTTAATTAAAAATCCTAATTTTGTGACAAATTGGATCATCTACTAGATGGATAATTGGGTGATAAACGACTAATTGAGTGATATATCAATTCATTAAACGGGTGATAAACGAGTTAACATACTCCACCCAAACATGACTCGTTTATTCGGCAAATCTATCCATTTATCACCTAAATTAGTTTTTTTTAAAAAAACTCAAACCCACTAATTTTATGTTATTTCTTTTCGGATGAATTGTGATAAATTTTGTCACCGTGACCGAATTGTTGGACCTCTTTTTAAAAGAACGTTGTCAAGTCCAAGTACGATGAACTGTTGACACCATTACCATGAGACATTTTGTAACGTGCATAATACTTTATACTTACAGTTTAATTTACATATTTAGAGACTTTTTTTTTTATAAGTCTTAAGATGCTGTCAATTTAGATGTTTTATATTAAATTTTGCTTCATATGGGTAGGGCCTAAATTGGCCAAGTCCGAAGAACAAAAGCAAATCAATCAGGGATTCTAGGCTTGGCCCATCTTAAGTCCCATTGGACCTCTAGAAACTTCATTATTGAGGAATTACTCTTAAATCTTATCTTCCAAGGCATGCTCTCAAGCCTCAATTCTTGATCGTAGCCCAAAAACCTAAATCGTATGCTTTCTTTCTTCTGATTTGTAACCATAAATTTTAACGGGAAATTGTAAAGGATTCAACAAATTATACTAAATTGTCAAAAAATACACAATTTTTTAATGTTAGGTAATTAAATTCTTTTTTTAGAACTTAATTGTGTTTATGGTAGATTTGTAACGTTTGTTTATTGTGTGTATCTCAGAATTTTTTGAATTTTAAATTTTTTTTCATATTATTGTCGGTTCTCTTCTTCTTTTTCTTTAAAATACAAGTCATTATCATTTAGAAAAGCTCAAACATAATAGGGTTAATTATAAGTTGTACCTTGAAAAATAGTTCGAATCTCAATTTAGACCATCAAAGATAAAAAATTTAATTTGCACCCCCAAAGATAAAAATTTGTATCAATGTGCATCCCCAAAGATAAAAAATCTCAATTTTCACCCTCAAATATAAAAATTTGTATCAATGTGCACCTAAAATTAAATTGATAAATTATACTTAGATCCCCTCATGCTTGTCACTTAATCATTTAAACCCCTTCACATTTAGAATATTACTCTCACATCTCATTGTGTTTGTGCAAGTGCAACACGTAGCCTATTTTCGTTGATATATGTTAATATAACCGTTAAAAATATGATTTTATCCTAATAAAAAATTATAATTTTATATTACCCTTTTTTCTGTGGGTTCGATATATTCTAAAGTTCAAAATCAAGTTTATCATTTAAATGTCTAATAGAATGTAGATATTTATATAATATTTTTTATATCAATGCAATATATTACTCAATGTGCAATCATTTATTCTATTAGACATTCAAATGGTAAACCTGATTTTGAACTTTATAGTATATTAGACATATAAAATAAAGGGTAATATGAAATTATAATTTTTTTATTAGGATAAAATCATATTTTTTAACTATTATATTAACATATATCAACAAAAATGGGTTATATATTACACGTGCACAAATGTCATGAAATATAGAAGTAATATTCTAAATATGAAAGAATCCAAATGATTAAGTGACAAACATGAAGGGATGTAGGCATAATTTATCAATTTAATTTTAGGTCTACATTTATACAAATTTCTATCTTTGAGTGTGCAAATTAAGATTTTTGATCTTTGGGGGTACACATTGATACAAATTTCTATCTTTGAGGGTGCAGATTGAGATTTTTGATCTTTGAAAGTATAAATTGAGATTCGAACGATCTTTGAGGGTACAATTTATAATTAACTCAACATAATATTATTCTTATTATCCAAAGCCATTATTAAGTTTGAATTTATGTCTTCATTAAGTTTTTGTTTAATTTTTCCGTTCACAGTCCTCATAATCATTCCGTTTTTCATCATAGTTCGTTAGTTGATCTCGGAGCTGCATAATGAATGGTGTCTCTTTTTTGTATCTTCCGTTTTTTTTTCATAGTTCTTTTGTTTTTGTTGGTTACCCAACCATGCGTAGATATGACCTCAAGGATTTTTTTCCCCAGTTTTTTTTTTTTTTTTGGTTTTGATCTAGGAACACCATGTTGGATGGTGTTACCAGGTTGCATCATGATTTTTTCCTAGTTTAAAGTTGTTTCTGTTCATAAGCTTCCTATTTGTCGATGGCACACTGATATGTTACATTGTGTGGTCTACACATGGTACATGAAACATTTTCCATTAAATATATCCAATGTGTTTTTAATTAGAAATTGTTTCACATGATTCATTCATAAACAATAATATGAGACATTGAGCTGTTATACTGTGGAAAACCTATTGTGTGAATCTGTGTACGTTGTCGCACTAATTATGTTACAAAATTTTTGCTACACTGTGAACAACCGTCAGATACACTTACAATTAACCAAAGTTCCATTTTGAAAATGATTTCACTTGATACATTCATAAACATAAAGATGTAACACTTTACAATTATACTTTTGAATACATTTAACGAATCTAGAACACAGACCTGATATACTGTTTTTTGTTTCCAAGCTATATTGTCAACATTATAAAATCCAAAACAATCTGCACAATTTTCTAAACATTCATAAGATACCAAAATATTCAATATGAAATTTCAAAATCCATAATTTATGGTTTAATAATGTTCAACTTAAAAATTAAAAATACATATGGAATAGTTGATCATTTGTCCACAAATGTTTTCTTCAGTTCCTATCATATTTTCAAATATTCTTCAGTCCAAGAAATTAGATGGTTTAGGAAAATCTTCAAATCTTCTTCGGTCCTTCTTCACAAATGATGGCCCACGCTTTGCTCTAACACGGATTCTCTACGTCGGAGTTCATATTTGGTTGTATATAACTCTCTTTTTTTCCCCATAGATTGTAAAGAAAGTATAAATAACACAAATGTTCTTTAGAAATGTAGTTATAGTGTATTATCAAAGTATAACAATACAATTAACTATGACAGTGTAACAATACACTTACACAAGACATTGTAATACAACAATGTTTCAAAGCATAATTTTGAATATATAGGGGGGGGGGGGCACTCAAATGGAACTTTCATTATAACATTACAATTATATTTTAATTTAGTACCACAATCACAAAAAAAAAATGTATGAATACCAAAACCCAACCATTTGATTGAGAAGCAACAATGCAATGTTAAAATTTGAAACATATGTTCAAGCAATATATTTATCATCAATGTTCGAGGTAAAAAACACCACCAAAAAAAAAAAAAAAAAAAAGACATGACCAACTAGAGTTTGAAGATATATGCACCACAACCAGGGGTTTAAAAATTAAATAGTTTTGGGAATTTTCCAAAAAACAAAAGGGTCCCAATACAATGACATAAGGTATTTTGTATTTTACCGACTCTATTGTATCTGTTAATTGTATATCCACATTCAGATTTTAAAAAAAAAATTGATTTGCCCAGGCCAAAAAGAACAAAAGAAACCAAATCAAAATCACTTTTTTGATTCGAAGTATAAACAATGATCTTAGAAGTATTAAAGACATAAAAACACCAAAAAAAAAAAAATTTGTTGCTTATTGTAAGTTACGCAGACATAAGATCAATGCTCAGC